GGCCGTACCTGGGCACAGGGGAGGGGTGAAGGGGGGATCACCAGCCCTGTGGCTGTACCTGGGCACAGGGGAGGGGTAACAGGTGTGTGGGGAGGGGACAGAGCACAGGGATTTGGGTGGCCCGGTGGAACCCAGGTGGGACTCACTCAGGTGGGACCCGGGTGCCCAAGTGGGACACAGACCCAGGTGTGACCCAGACCCCCAGGTGGGACCCTGACCCCCAGGTGAGCCCAGGTGTGCCCCAGCCGCCCAGGTGACCCAGGTGAGCCCCGGCCCACCCTCCAGGCACATGGTGGAGAAGAAGGCGATGTTCCGGGTCTCCAGGGGCGACTCGTGGGTGCACTCGGGCGAGCGCGTCTGCGGCTCCGACTCCCCCGTCAGCGACGAGTTGTCCACCTTGGGGGGGGACGTGTGGTCACACCCCCACCTGTGGGCCCCAGTGCCCCCGGCTGAGCGCCAGGTGAGCCCCCAGGTGAGCCCCCAGGTGAGCCCCGAGCCCACCTTGCAGCCCTGGGCCGACAGGACGCGGATGTCGGCGGGGACTCTGTCGCCCCCCTTGATCTCCACCAGGTCCCCGACCACGAGCTCGTTGGCGTTGATCTGCTGCTTGGCCCCGTCCCGCACCACCGTGGCTTGCTGGGGGGCACAGGGGGCACAGGTGAGGGCATGGGGAGGGCACGGGGGAGGGCAGAGATGAGGGCACAGGTGAGGGCACAGGTGAGGGCACGGGGAGGGCACGGGGGGCACAGGTGAGGGCACGGGGACAGCACAGGGGAGGCCCCCAGGTGGGCGGGGTGGGGCAGGGTGGGGTCCCCACCTGCGGGACCAGGTTCTTGAAGCTGGCGATGATGTTGGTGCTCTTGAACTCCTGGTAGTACCCGAAGCAGCCGGTGACGACCACGACGGCGATGAGGGCGATGGCCAGGTACAGCTGGGGGGGGACAGGTGAGTGCCTGGGGCCCAGGTACCCCTGTCCTCGGGGTCCAGGGGGGTCCTGGGCATCCAGAACCCCCACATGTTCCCCCAGCCCCGGCTTCCAGGTGTGCCCTCTGAGGTGGACCCAGGTGCCCCCCAAGTGTCCCAGGTGCCCCCCAGCCCCCCAGGTGCCCCCCAGGTTCCCCCCAGCCCCCCAGGTGCCCCCCAAGTGTCCCAGGTGCCCCCCAGCTCCCCAGGTTCCCCCCAGGTGCCCCCCAGGTGCCCCCCAGCCCCCCAGGTGCCCCAGGTGCCCCCCAGGTGCCCCCCAGGTGCCCGTACGTTGTCGGAGGAGCCGCGGTCTCCCTCTCCCTCCTGGACCCCGTAGGCGATGAGGCAAATGGCCGCTGCCACCCACATGAGGCACTGCAGCCCCCCTGCCAGCTGCCGCCCGAACTTCACACACTCGGGGGTCCCGCGGGGGGGGCGAAGCTCGTTGGGGCCGTCCCGGAGCAGCCGCTCGGCCGCCACGGCCTCCGACAGGCCCTGGGGGGACGGGGGGGTCAGTGGGGTCAGTGGGGTCAGTGGGGCTGATTGGGGTCACTGTGAATGGTGGGGTCAGTGGTCAGTGAGGTCAGTGGGATCGGGGTCAGAGGGGTCAGGGGTCACCTTGGTGACGCTGGTGCTGTACTTGATCTCCAGGTCGTTCACGTCGAGCTTGTGATCATCCTGTGGGCACCCGGCTCAGAGCTGACCCCCCCAGTGCCCCCCAGTACAGCCCAGTGACCCCCCCCAGTGCCCCCCAGTACAGCCCACTGCCCCCAGTGCCCCCCATTGACCATCCCAGTCCCTCCCAGTCTCTTTCATCCCCTCCCAGTCCCTCCCAGTGACCCCCACTGACCACCCCAGTCCCTCCCAGTCCCTCCCATCTCCTCCCAGTGCCCCCCAGTCCCTCTCAGTGCCCCCCATTGACCATCCCAGTCCCTCCCAGTGCCCCCCAGTGCCCCCACCACATCCATCTCCTTCTTCATGTCCTCCAGCTTCTCCTTCTCCCTCCTCTTCCCGCGGCCCTTTTTGGGGGTCGGGGCCGGCGGCCCCAGCTCGAAACTCTGGGGGGGGGAAAGGGGTCAAGGGGGGTCAAGGAGGGGGTCGGGGGGTCCCTCCCCCATCCCTCCCCCCTCCATCCTTCTCTCCGTCCCTCTCTCCTCCCTCCCTCCCTCCCTCCCTCCTTTCCCTCTCCAGCCTTTCTCTGGCTCTCCATCTCTCCTCAATCCTCCATCCCTTCTCCATCTCTCCTCCATCCCTCTCTCCATCTCTCCTCAATCCTCTTCCATCCTCCTCCTCCCTCCCTCCCTCCCTCTGCCCCTCTCCCCACTCACCTCCTTCCCCATGGCGGCTCCCAGTGCTCCCAGTGCCGTCCCCACCTCCCCTTATACCCCCCGTGGGCACCGCCCCAAGGTGACCCTGCCGGGGGGGAGGGGATACCTGGTCCCCTTTTGGGGGGAGGGGACACCTGGACATGTCTGGGGTTTTTTTTGGGACACCTGGACACACCTGAGCCCCTTTTTGGGTGGAGGGGACACCTGGACACATCTGGGTCCCTTTTTGGGATACCTGGACAAACCTGGATCCCCATTTTTGGGGGGCAGGGGACACCTGGGTCCCCTTTTTGGGACACCTGGACACACCTGGATCCCTTTTTGGGAGGGGAGGGACCCCCCAGCCCCGGTGCCCTCGGGCCGCCCTTGATCCCCCCCCCTTATCAGGTAGGGCCTTATCAGGGCTTTGCCTCGTTAATGATTAATTGATTAATCACAATTAACGCGGATTTATCGCCTTTATCGCCCTTATTGGGGGGCTGGGGGGGTCGGGGGGGGGGTCTCTGGGTTCCCATCGTGCTTTGCTCTCACTTTGGGGGGGGGAAGGTGTCCTGGGGGGAGGGGACACGAGAATTTTGGGGGGGGACTCTGGTGTCCCAGGTTCCCCCTTAAAGGGACCCGGGCTTTGGGGGGAGGGAGCAAAACCCCCCCACAGGTGTCCAGAGGAGGTTTGACCCGGATCTTGGGGGATCCCTAAAAAAACTCCCCAGGACCCCCCAAAACCCCCGAAGATCCCCCAAAACTCCCCCAGGACCCCCCAGAACCCCTCCACAGGCGTCCGGGGGGAGTCCGGGGATCTGGGGGGTTCCGGGTGGGCGGAGACCCCCCCAAAAACAGGCCAAGAGTCCCAAACCCCCCAAAAACGGGCTGAGAGTCCCAAAACCCCCAAAAATCCCCCCAAAACCCCCCGGAGAGCGCCGAACCCCCTGTCACGTGACGCCATGGCCACGCCCACGATGCGTAACGACGTCGAAGGGGCGTGTCCTTTTGGAGTGGGCGTGGCCGGAGGGCGGAGCGTGAACGGCGTTCGCGGCGTGAATTGGGCGCGGCTTCGTGGGGAAAGGGGCGTGGCCCGGGCGGGGTGGGCGTGGCCCGGGCGGGGTGGGCGTGGCCTCAGCAATGGCGGCGCTGCGCGTGCTCGTGGGTGTGAAGCGGGTCATCGACTTCGCCGTCAAGGTGGGGGCACCTGAGACCCCCCCGGACCCCTCCGAGAACACCCCAACCTCCCCTGGGACCCCCCCGGGACTCCCCCGGGACTCCCGAGACCCCCCGGAACCCGAATGGCGGGGAGGGGTCACACCTGGGGGGTTACCTGGGGACCCCCAAACCCTCGGGACGCCGCCCCCCTCCCTCCCCCCCGAGACACCTGAGACCCCCCCGGTGTCTCCCTGGGACGCGCCCACCCCCCAAACCCTGCCCTGCTTTTCGGTCGGGGACGGGTCCGGCCCCCGGGACCCCCCGGGACCCCCCAGAACCCTCCGGGACCACCCAGAACCCCCCGTGGGGGGCCGGGCGGGGCTGTTCGGACCCCCCCCACCCCCCTTCCCCTGGGGCCGGGTCCCCCCCCGGGTGCGCGGGCCCCCGGGGGGGGGGTCGGTGCAGACGCAGGGGGTGAAGCACTCGCTGAACCCCTTCTGCGAGATCGCCCTGGAAGAGGCCGTGCGGCTCCGCGAGGGCGGCGCGGCCGCGGAGGTCGTCGTGGCCACCGTGGGCACCAAGGCCAGCCAGGTGCGTGGGGACACAGCCGGGGCACCCCAAACCCCCGGGGACCCTCCCTGCCCTGCACCCCTGGGGGTTGGGGTGTCCTGGGGGGGGTGTGTTGGGGTCACTGGAGGGGCTTAGGCTGTCCTGGGGGGTGTTTTGGGGTGTGTTTTGGTGTGTCCTGGGGGGGGGGTTGGATCCCCCCGACTCTGCCTTTTGTCCCCCCAGGAGACCCTGTGGGGGTGTTTGGGGGTGTTTGGGGGTGTTTTTGACCCCCCTTTGCCCTCCCAGGAGACCCTGTGGGGGTGTTTGGGGGGGTTGTGGGTGTTTTTGACCCCCCCTTGTCCCCCCAGGAGACCCAGTGGGGGTGTTTGTGGGTGTTTTTGACCCCCCCTTGTCCCCTCAGGAGACCCTGTGGGGGTGTTTGGGGGGTTTGTGGGTGTTTTTGACCCCCCCTTGTCCCCTCAGGAGACCCTCCGCACGGCGCTCGCTGTCGGGGCCGACCGGGCGGTGCTGGCCGAGGTGGGGGAGGGGGTGGCCCTGGGACCCCTCGAGGTGGCCACGGCCCTGGCCGGGCTGGTGGGGAAGATCCAGCCCCAGCTGGTGCTGCTGGGCAAGCAGGTGAGACCCTCTAGACACCTATAGACCCTCTAGACACCTATAGACCCCTATAGACCCCCTATAGGTCCCCTATAGACCTCCTATAGACTCCTTGAAGCCACAGCTGGTGCTGCTGGGCAAGCAGGTGAGACCCTATAGGGTCCTATAGACACCCCTATAGACCCCTGTGGACCCTTATAGACCCCCAGGGACCCCCATGGACACCCCTATACACCCTTATAGACCCCTACAGATCCCCTATAGGCCCCCTGAAACCCCAGCTGGTGCTGCAGTGAGACCCCCCATAGATCCCCTATGGGCTCTCACGGACCCTTACGGACCCTCCTATAGACACCTGTGCACTCCCATATAGGCCCCTGTGGACCCCCGCAGCCCCGGGAGGGTCCCTGTGGCCCGGGGGCTGTGGTGGGTCCCCTATAGCCCCCATAGGACCCCTCCTGTCCCCCCCCAGGCCATCGATGACGACTGTAACCAGACGGGGCAGCTCCTCGCCGCCATGTTGGACTGGCCGCAGGTACCGCGGGGCACGACGGGACACTGGGGGTGTGCGGCTGTCCCGGCATCCCCCGCGGCACCGACCATAGAGATCGACCATAGAGATCATTGCAGTGCGCGGGGCATGACGGGACACTGGGGGGTGTGCGGCTGTCCCGGCATCCCCCGCAGAGATCATCGCAGCGCGCGGGGCATGATGGGATGTTGGGGTGCGCGGCCGGAGGGGGGATAAATCCCATGGTCCTTTGCGGCGGTTTCTGCGCGGGGGGGGGCCCAGTTTGTGCTGGGAACGCCTCAGTTTGTACTGGGAGGTGCTCAGTGGGTACTGGGAGCGGGTGTTTTACACTGAGAAGGGCTCCCAGCCCTTACTGGGGTAATCCAAGTCCATACTGGGATGCCCCCACTCCATTGTGGGTGGTCCCACCCCGCACTGGGACGTTCCCAGTCCATCCCAGTCCCCTCTGTCCCCAGGGCACCTTCGCCTCCCGTGTCCAGCTGGAAGGCGGCTCCGTGCGGGTGGAGCGGGAGGTGGACGCGGGGCTGGAGACGCTGCGGTTGCGCCTCCCGGCCGTTCTCACGGCGGATCTGCGGCTCAACGAGCCCCGTTACGCCACCCTGCCCAACATCATGGTGAGTGGGGCACCCCCAACCCCCCCGAGCCAGGGGAACCCCCCCCCAATCCTGGGACCCCCCTCAAAACCCCCATTGACTGGGTAGATCTGGGTGTGTCCCCCCCTTTTGGGTGTTCCCCAAAGCCCTGGGTCCCCTTTGGGAGAATTTGGGGGTCCCTCCTACCCCCGCATCCCTTTTTTGGGGGGGGAGGAATTGGGGAGAATTTGGGGGTCCCATCCCCTGGATCCCTTTGGTTGGGGCTGATTTGGGGGTGTTTGGTGGTTTTAGGGGTAGATTTGGGGGTGTTTGTGGTGGATTTGGGTGATTTAGGGGGGTTTGGGGTCTGACTCCCTGTGCCCCCCAGAAAGCCAAGAAGAAGCCCCTGGAGGTGATCCCGGCTGCGGATTTGGGGGTCCCCGCGGGCCCCCCCCCGGCTCCGGGTGCTGCAGGTTCAGGAGCCCCCGGCCCGGGCAGGGGGGGAGAAGGTGGAAAATGTCCCGGCCCTGGTGGAGAAGCTGCGGAGCTGCGGCCGCATCTGAGGGGGGAACCAGGATGGACCAGTACGGACCAGTGCCCTCCAGGAACCCCCCCAGTAACCCCCAGTGCCTTCCAGCCTGGGCCAGTGCCCCCCCCTCCCCCCCCTAGGGCCCCCCAGGATCCCCCCACTGTCAGCCCAGGCCCCCCAGTGCCTTCTACTTCCCCCAAATAAAGGCGTGGCTGCTCGATGTCATTGTGTCTATGGCAGTGTGGCCTGAGGGTGGGTCAGATATGGGACCATTCGTTCCCTTTTTACTGGGTTTTTGGGGGTTGGCACCAGTATGGACCAGTTTGGCACTTGGGGGGCCCCAGTGGGGGCCACTTTTTCCCCAGAGCCTCCTCATTTGTCCAGTCCTGTCCCAGTTTGTCCTGGTCTGGTCCCAATTTGGTCAAATTTGTCCCAGTCCATCCCAATTTGTCCCAGTTCATCCCAATTTGTCCCAGTTTATCCCTGTCAATCCCAGTTTCTCCCAGTCTGCCCCAGTTTATCTCAGTGCAGTCCCGGTTTGCCCCAGTCCATCCCAATTTATCCCAGTGTGTCCCAGTTTGTCCCGCTCCGGTCCCAGTTTGTCCCAATTCGTCCCAGTCCCGCCCTGGCCCCGCCCTGTTGCCGAGCAACGTCAGGCTCCGCCCCCGCCACCCAATCACGGGGCGCGCCGTCCGCAGGCGGCGGAGCTCGCGCTGACAGGCAGGAGCGTGAACCAATAGGAACACGCGGAGGGCGGGCCCTGCGGCTGTTCCAGCCAATGAGCGGCGGTCGGGCCCTGCAGCAGCGGCGCGGGCGGCCCCGTGCGGCCCCTCAGAGCCGGGGCGGCGGCCAAGATGGCGGCGGCGGACGGAGATGACTCGCTCTACCCCATCGCCGTCCTCATCGACGAGCTCCGCAACGAGGACGTGCAGGTACCGCTCCCTGGTATATCCGAGGTCCCTGTAGTGATAGCCGGGGCCCTGTCGCGATATTCGCGGTTCCTCCGCGGCCGCGGGGCCCTCCCTCCGTCGCTCGTCTGAGACGGCCATTCTGATTGGCTACAGAGGCCTCCCCCCCTCAGGCACGGGCCAATTGGGAGCGGCGTTACATCTGAGGAACGAGGGGGTGTCTCGCCTTCATGGTGATGGGATGCATGGCGCGCTCTGATTGGGTGCTGGGCCCCTTTAATTGTGTTACGCGCGTTCTGATTGGCCTGGAATCCCCCTCCCCAGCGTGGCGCCCCCTGGCGGCGGGGCAGCGCCTGGTGACCCCGCCTCCACCCTACGTTGGCAAATGGGAGTGCGAGGCCGAGGCGGCGGCGGCCGCCCATTGGCTGGCGACCTGCGTGGGCGGGGCGGAGAGAAGCCAATGGAGGTGCTCGTCTCAGCAAAGGTGCTGCGGGGCCATGAGAAAAGGCTCCTGATTGGCTGGATGGCCTTGGGGGCGTTTCCAGTGGGGGGCTTTAATTACCCCTGGAATGTTTTAATTACCGCAGGGGGCACTTCAGTTACTGCTGGGAGGGTATTTTGACCCCTGGGGAGCCTTTAATTACCCGGGGGGAGCAGTTTGCTGACCCTTTTCCCCCCCCAGCTGCGGCTCAACAGCATCAAGAAGCTCTCGACCATCGCGCTGGCGCTGGGGGTGGAGAGGACCCGCAGTGAGCTCCTGCCCTTCCTCACCGGTACGGGGACCCTCGGGGCTGGGGGGGGGCCAAAAACCTCCCTAAACCAGGCCCAAAGCCCCCCAAACCCAGCGTTGGATGGGGCTGGGTGGGACTTGGGGTGACTGACTGTTCAGGAGGGGTGATTGATCAATTGATTGGTTATTGGTTACAGACACAATCTATGATGAGGACGAGGTGCTCTTGGCGCTCGCGGAGCAGCTCGGGACCTTCACTGCCCTCGTGGGGGGACCCGAGTTCGTGCACTGCTTGCTGGTAGGACCCCAAAATACACCTAAAATACCCCAAAATAACCTCCCAAATGCCCCAAAACACCCCAAAACCACACCTGGGAACCCCAAAACCCCACATTGGGCTCCTGTGGGGTGACACTGGGCACACAAGGGACCCTGGGGTGGGTTGAGTGGTCCTTGTGGTGGTTTTGGTGGCCCTCTGGGACACGAGGGACCTGCAGATGGTTTCTGGGGACACGAGGGACCGCGGGATGGTTTGGGTGGCCCGTGGGTTTCACGGGGTGGTTTGGGAGTTCGCTGGGCACACGGGACACCCCTCGGTGACGGTCCCACCCCGCTGTGCCCGCAGCCCCCCCTGGAGAGCCTGGCCACGGTGGAGGAGACCGTGGTGCGGGATAAGGCGGTGGAGTCCCTGCGGGCCGTGTCCCACGAGCACTCGCCCCCCGACCTCGAGGGGCACTTTGTGCCGCTGGTGAAGCGCCTGGCGGGGGGCGACTGGTTCACGTCGCGCACCTCGGCCTGCGGCCTCTTCAGCGTCTGCTACCCCCGCGTGTCCAGCCCCGTCAAGGCTGAGCTGCGCCAGTGAGTGCCGGTCAACCTCGGTGTCCCCAGCCCACCTCGGTGTCCCCAACCCACCCTCGGTGTCCCCAGCCCAACCCTGACCCCCCAAGCCCCTCCAGCTCAACGCAAGGTCATCGCACTGACCCCACACCCCGTTTTTGGCCTCAATGCCCGGCCCGGCCGTCCCCGTAGGAGGTCCCTGGGTGCCACCTGGCCTCACCTGGCCTCACCTGGGCTCACCTGGGCACACCTGGGCACAGCTGTCCCCCCTGGCCGCAGGTACTTCCGGAACCTGTGCTCGGACGACACGCCCATGGTGCGCCGCGCCGCCGCCTCCAAGCTGGGCGAGTTCGCCAAGGTGCTGGAGCTGGAGCACGTCAAGAGCGAGATCATCCCCATGTTCTCCAACCTGGCCTCCGACGAGCAGGTGGGCACACCTGGGC